TGCCCCACTGCAGACTAGAGGCTCCATGAAACCCAAGAAAGTCCAAGAATTTGAAGAACCACAGGGGTTCTTAGGGTAAAGGCAGTAAACTTAATTGCCACGGTCAAGTTGTTAAGTGCATCAAATAAAAGATATAAGAAAGCTAAACTTGATTATACTTTACCATCAGACTCAATCTTATCATTTTATTCTCCTGCTCTGCTTAAAAACTTCAATAACTCAGCTGGCTGTGGCGGCTCACACTCGTAGTTCCAGCACTTTGGGAGGTCGAGGCCAGTGGATCACAAGGTCAGGAGTTTGAGACCAGCCTGGCCAATATACTGAAACTCCCATCTCTGCTAAAAATACAAAAATTAGCCAGGCATGGTGGCACACACCTGTAGTCCCAGCTAGTCGGAAGACTGAGGCAGCAGAATAGCTTGAACCCGGGAGGAGGTTTCAGTGAGCCAAGATCACACCACTGAACTCCAGCCTGGGTGACAGTGTAAGATCTTGTCTCAAAAACAAACAAGAACAAATAAAACAAAACAAAGAAACTTCAATAACTCCACATTGCTACTGGACCAAATATAAACTTACAACGGTATAGACTATTCTTCATAACATAACCCTAACCTTCCTTGTTAACTTCATCTGTAGTTAATTCTTTTTTTAAAAAAAATTTTTAACTTTTGAGACAAGGTCTCACTTTGTCCCCCAGGCTGGAGTGCAGTGGTCCAATCATGCCTCACTGTAGCCTCAGCCTCCTGGGCTCAAGTGATCCTCCCATCCTAGCCTCCCAAGTGCCTGGGACTACAGGCCTGTGCCACCATCCTGGGCTTATTTTTTTGTATTTTTTGGTAGAGATGGGTTTCCCACTGTCTTTCCCAGGCTGGTCTCAAACTCCTGGTCTAAAGCAATCCCAATATGCTGGTATCATAGGCATGGGTCACCATGCCTGGCAGAATTAATTCTTATTACATATCTTGGAAGGTATGGGGGACAACTTAGAACTTCACAAATCAGCAAGATACTTTTAAATCCCCATCAATTTGTTTACATGATTCTCTCTGCTCAAAACGCTTATCCCAGTTGGCAATTCCTAACTGTGCTCCAAAGCCTGCCTCAAGTATCATTTCTTCTCAGTAGCTTTCTCAACTCCCACTCCTGCTACTCAAAATGATTCCTCTTTCATCTCTGAGTCATAGCACTTTAAGCAGTCCTTTGTTAAATCACTTAACTTGATGAATTAGATAGACTCATTGAGTTCTAGCTATCCTTTCTTCAATTTACTGTGTACTCCCTGAAGGCAAGTGTGAGCATGTCATTGTACAATTCTTGCCACACTACTGGAGAATAATACAGGTGTGTTGAATTGAATCAGATATTAAAAGAGGACCAAAGCATAGATGGATCTTTTTGGCCTAGGAATTATATAAGGGGTAGAAGGTGTATCCTAAATCCACATATGTAATTCTGCTTTGGTCTTACCAGAGTGTATGTAATTTGCTTTTATTAAAAAACAGTGTTGGTAGTCCAGGCGAGGTGGCTCATGCCTGTAATCCCAGCACTTTGGGAGGCCAAGGTGGGGGATCACCTGAGGTCCGGAGTTTGAGAACAGCATGACCAACATGGAGAAACCCTGTCTCTACTAAAAGTGCAAATTTAGCCAGGAGTGGTGGTGCATGCCTGTAATCCCAGCTACTCAGGAGGCTGAGGCAGGAGAATTACTTGAACCCAGGAGGAAGAGGTTGCAGTGAGCTGAGATCATGCCAATGCACTCTAGCCTGGCAACAAGAGCCAGACTCTGTCTCAAAAACAAAAAAACAAAAAACAGTGTTGGCTTCACACTCATTCCTATAATCCCGACACTCTGGGAGGCCAAGGTGGTGGAGCACTTGAGGCCAAGAGTTCAAGACCAGGCTGGCCAACATGGCAAAATCCCTTCTACTAAAACTACAAAAATTGGCCAGGCATGGTGGTGAGGGCCTGTATTCCCAGCTACTTGGGGGTGCTGAGGCATGAGAATTGCTTGAACCCGGGAGGCAGAAGTTGCAATGTGCCAAGATCACATCACTGCATGCCAGCTTGGGTGACAGAGTGAGACCCTGTCTCAAAAACAAAACTAAAACAAACAAACAAAACCCCCCATAAACCAGTGTCATTTAGTCAGGTCTGGTGCAGGTCTGTGGTCCTAGGTACAGGGTAGGCTGAGACAGGAGGATCGCTTGAGTCTGGGACTTTGAGGCTTTAGTGAGCTATGAACATACCCTGCACTCCAGCCTGGGCAACAAAGTGAGACCCTGCCTCTAAAGGAAAAAAACCAAAAACCAAAACCACGCTAGCGTCATGAATATATTCTTTAGATAAAATTTTATTAATCAGTTTTCTGTTTAGAATTGGCTTTCCCAAAACCCAGTTAGCCAAAGGTAGCTGAGTAATTTGAAATATTCCCCAGCTGGAACGGAATCCCATTTGGGGCTTGCTTCAATCAGTGCACCTCTGTCTTGCTTTTGCTCTTCAAAGAGACCCTCAGTCAATCATAGCCTTTGAAGGCATGAGCTGAACGGAAACCAGATGACTCTATTGAATTTTAAACTTGCCACAAGTTAACTAAAGAAGTATATATATATTTTCCTCTTATAGATTAAGCCCACGTTGTTCCAGAAAGAACTTGAGGTTGAGGTTAAAACACACACACACACACACACACACACACACACACACCCCCCAAAAAACCAAATCCCCAAACAAACTATTTCATACTCATTCCATTGGTTCTTTTGATGGCCTTCTGTCAGTGTTAATGGTTAGTGTGAAAGATTTTTGGAAAAGTTTTCCAGGTGGGAGTAATAGCATTTCCTCAAGCACCTTTTATCTTGATTTGTGGTAAATTTCTCTTTCAATGCCCTCAGGCCACTTATACCCTAAGACCCTGCATGAGTTTATTCAACCTTCAAGTCAGTCACTTCTGCCCTCATCTAGGGCATATAACAATGTAGTTACTTACCCAGCAGGTATCCTGGCTGAGTAAGACCATAAAGAATTCATCTCAGCAGGAGCTTTTGGAGTCAGTCTTCTGTCTGAGCATCTCTGACCGGTTATGCTACCTTAAACAAGTTACTTAACTTCTGTTTCACCTGATTTACCAGTTTCAAAAAACAAAAAAGGAGAATGGTACCTACCTCATAGGTTTATTGTATGGAGTGAATTAAATGTCTAAAGCACTTAGGACAGCATCTGGCATATGGCACATACCTCAGTAGCTGGGACTACAGGTGTGTACTACCACACCTGGCTAATTCTATTTTGTAGAGATGGGTTCCTACTATGTTTCCTTGGCTGGTCTCGAACTCCTGGGCTCAAGTGGTCCTCTCTCCTTGACCTCCCAAACTTTTGGGATTACAGGCATGAGCCACCACGCCTGGCAAGGGGTAGGACATATACATTCTTTAAACCTTTTAAGCAAGAGCTTGAATTCTAGAATTTTAGAGCTCAAAAGGCTCTCAGGAGTCCATTTACTCAAACCCTGCCTCCAGCTGCATTGTGCTTTAATCACTATACACTGATAATTTTCTGATCTATTTTAATGATGTTTAAGAATGGAGATCTCACAGGATCCTTTTAGATTAAGTGCCTCTTTGGAGGGTTCAGTATTCAATAAACTTTAGCCTTATATTCTGTACTTTAAGTACTATTTCTTTGTATTTTTACATATAAGTGGGTATAATAAAAAATTAAAGGAAGAATGGTCATTTTTAGAACAAACCTTATTTACAAAACCACAAGTCAGTCTGCTTTGGTATTGACAAAATCCCTACAACTGAGATATTAAAGAGATACATTTATTTTAGCTTCACATGAAACCAAAATCCAACACTACCCCGTTTTCCTATTCCTGTGTGGCTCTGAGTGCAGCTTTTAAAAAAAAAAACAAAACAAAGCAAAGCAAAACAACTCTTTCTAATGAACAATGGCTTAAGCAAATTGCTTCTTTAGTTTTTTTCTATTTAAGAATTAGGACAGATTACTCTTCTAAAATTTGCTATTTACAGAGAAAGCCCTAGGGAACAGGATAACTTATTTAGGTTTAGCTCTCATAATACAATATCCATAATGGCTTTAGAAGAATGTAAAGAAATAACATTGGTAAACAATATATATTGATATTTTCTGACAAACTCATTTATCTAACATCATGCTGAGCAATCAAGAGGATTCCTCCATATATTTTAAATTTTAATTTATTCTATTTGCTGATTCACAAAGTCTTGCTCCATATTAAAACAGTTATCACCAATAGAACCTATGAGAACCAGTGCCCATGGAAACCTAACAGCTTGTTTTCCTAATCCTCTATTAAAACTCGGTTGAGCTCGATATATGCATGGCTGAATACTAGGCCTTTATTCAGGAATGTAAAATTAATGGTATCTGGTATCAAGTTGTAAGAAAAACTCCCCCAGATTGGGAGGTAACTGAGTCATATGTGAAAGAATCTTCTCCTGTCTGAATTGAAGAATACACCTACACAGGGCAGAAGAAGGTAGGGGAGAGGAAGTAGAAATAGAAGAAAGGCACAATGCCACTGGCTTCCAACTGAGGTAATTAATTCGAGACAGCAAATAAATACATCAACAAATGCCCCATTTCTGTTTTCTAAAAAAGATCACTGGGAAACTAACAATTTTAAAGTTGATCCATTAATACATTTTTAAATAGAAAAGGGTTTGTATATTATATATCATAATTCCATTCATCTAATACACTCCTCTGCTGAGATATTTAACACATCTTCATCTGTACTCTCTTCTATCTCTGGCAAGTTGCCCCAAAGGAGGACATTTACACCTGAAAATAAAAAGTCACAAAATTGTTTAATGCTCACTACTGGTATAACTCAGAACATGAATTATAAAACTATATGTTAATATTCTTATATAAACCATAGTGTTAGCAGTAATAAGTACAGCCATTAAAGAATGAACTGCAAATAAAATTATCTAATATTATCCATCTGGGACATAAACTTTATTTTTTTGAGACAAGCTCTCTCTTTGTTGCCTAGGCTGGAGTGCCTGGCAGGATTACAGCTCACAATCACTGCTCACTGCGGCCTCAACCTCCAGGGCTCAAGTGATCCTTGTACCTCAGCCTCCTAAGTAGCTGCGACTACAGGTGTGTACTACCACACATGGCTAATTTTATTTTGTAGAGACGGGTTCCTACTTTGTTGCTTAGGCTGGTCTCGAACTTCTGGGCTCAAGCAATCCTCTCTCCTTGACCTCCCAAACTGTTGGGATTACAGGCATGAGCCACCACGCCTGGCAAACACTTTTTTTTAAGGGGTAGGACATAAACATTCTTTAAATCCTTTTAAGCAAGAGCTTGAATTCTAGAATTTTAGAGCTCAAAAGGCTCTCAGGAGTCCATTTACTCAAACCCTGCCTCCAGCTGCATTGTGCTTTAATCACTATACACTGATAATTTTCTGATCTATTTTAATGATGTTTAAGAATGGAGATCTCACAGGATCCTTTTAGATTAAGTGCCTCTTTGGAGGGTTCAGGGAAAAGTCCTGAATAAGTCTCCTTATCCCTTCAATAAGCAGAGAAGTAGCTGGTGCCATTTTTCTGATTCAGAAAAAAAGCAAGGGTTTGGAGCCAGTTATAATATGAACTACAATCCTTGATACCAGTGGGTTTCAGTCCAAAAGCAGAGCTGTAAACTAAATTTAGGACCAGGTTACAGCAGCCACTACAATAAACAAAAGAATAATCAAAAACTTCACTGAGAAAGAATAGTCAGATTTCATACTGAAGAATGCAGCATGATTCTTCAGGGTAGACAGTAAATGATTCAATATACAGTAGAGAATAATGACAAGGTTTATTACTCTGGGCATATATTACATTATAAGTTAAAAGCACTAAATAGAAAATAACTAACCACTAGAATAGTCAATTAACTGCACAAGAAAAGCAAATTTTTTTTTTTTTGAGATGGAGTCTCGCTCTGTTGCCCAGGCTGGAGTGCAGTGGTGCAATCTTGGCTCACTGCAACCTCTGCCTCCTGGGTCCAAGGGATACTCCTGCCTCAGCCTCCCAAGTAGCTGGGACTAAAAGCAAGTGCTACCATGCCCAGCTAATTTTTGTATTTTTAGTAGAGACGGGGTTTCAGCATGTTGGCCAGAGTGGTCTTGAACTCCTGACCTCAGGTGGTTCCCCTGCCTTGGCCTTCCAAAGTGCTGGGATTAGAGACATGAGCCACCATGCTTGGCCAGAAAAGTAGATCTTAAGCTGTCCAGTTATCAGTGTGGACACAAAGAGTACTCAGCAATTCTGGATACCCACTCCATACACGCTGAGATAGAAGCCACATGGTGGAATGAGCAAGGATTTGAAGATTTGGTTTGAATCTAGTGTTCACAACTGCCAGTATACCATGTATGGTTTTACTGCAAATGCATGCAACCATAGACAATATATATTACTGTTTTGTGGATTTTAATTTTTTATAGAATGTTATTATACTATATGTTTTTTTCTAATGTGCTTTTTCACACATTATGTTTTTGAGGTTAATCTATGTTGACTTGTGTAGATTTTGCTCATTTATTTTTACTTCTAGAGAGCATTCCATTTTGTGAATTTTTAAAAATGTTGCAAATACAGCCCACTGTTCATTCCTTCCTCAGCCACCCATCTTGCATAGGTAGCCTAAGGAGACATGCTCAGGGATTTGTAGTGTGACATTGTTGAAATAGTAGAAATAATCAACTGTTTTCCTTGACTGAAGGAGATACTGGAATCTAATCTGGCAAGAAGTTGGCATATATTTGATGCTGGTAGGGATACAGATGTCTATCTTATTATTTTCTATAATCTTTTTGTATTTGAATTGTTTACAATAAAAAACGCTACCCCACTCTCACCCCAAGAATGAATGGTGTTCTGCTCCTGGTAAATGTCATGGAAGAGCTGACAGGAAGAGCTGTAAGGAATTGTGAGGCAAAAATCTAAGTAAAAATTAGAACCCATAAAGGCAAATAGAGGGCTGAAGCCATGTTGCCTCTGAGGGGATTTGCCAATTTCAAGAAATTTGAGCTGAGGTTTCCCAAGCCTCCTCAAGAAAGTTCTGGGAAATCAGGTCTCTATGTGAAGACTAGAGGTCTAGAAAACTCCAGGAGTCTTTTTCAGTCTAAACATTCTAGAATTTATAAAGCTTGTCTATGAATTCCTTTGACATTACTGGTTCAGGTGATTCAAGGATAGTGGCGACGCCATTAGAAACCTGCTTTGATACCAAGCATCTAGAAAATTTTGCTTGAAATCACAATATTAGGGTTACAAAGCAGAAGCTTGATATTCCTGGAGTCAGTATTCAGAGACATAAAGCAGCTCAGCACAATTGGTTCAAAGGAGGAAAAATAAACTAAGAGATTGGATCTGACAGAAGCAGCACCTTCCTTTCTCTGTTAAGAAGGGAGGAAGGAAATCCTGTGATACATCTGTTTCTTATGGATTAGATTCAGTGCAAATGGAAGAACGCTGGGCTTTTATCTTTGAAAAATTGACCAATATTAAAAAGTAAATCAAACTTGAAAAATCTCCACCCTGTGTTTTGAATTCTGTAAAGCAGGAAAAATACTATCAAAGCAGAAACTTCCTTTAATGTGTCCCATGGGCAACACAAATATAAAACTGGAGGCTTAAATTAGGAGACTGTATCCCACTTAGGGGAGTTCAGATAAGTCCTTACATGAAAATAGCCTTCTTAATATACCAAAAGTTTTGAATTAAGACCCCATAAATGACAGATTGAGAGCCATAGCTGAATCCCAGGTGATTAAAAAAAAGTCAAATCTATAAAAATCTAAGCATAATTGGAGCATTTAAAGACCCCTGACAACCTAGCTTGCAATTCATGATCTTTTGGTCTGTGAAGGCAAATCATGTATTAAAAAATATATTTAAGTTCTAAAGGAGACTAAAACATGCATTTTGGAACCCAAGAATGCTAGTGTAACTTAGATTGTTGAGTTCCTTAAAGTTGGCTGCTTCGGTTTCTCAGGGCTGTAATCCCAACCCTTTGGGAGGCCAAGGTGGGCTGATCACTTGAGGCCAGGAGTTCGAGACCAGCCTAGGCAAAATGGCAAAAAACCTGTCTCTATGAAAAATATAAAACTTTATTTGGGTGTGGTGGCACAGGCCTGTGGTCCCACCTATTCAGAAGGCTAAAGTGGGAGAATCCCTTGAGCCTGGGAGGTTGAGGCTGCAGTGAGATGAGATTGTGCCACCGCACTCCAGTCTAGGTGACAGAGCAAGACCCTGTCTCCAAAAGAAAAAGGAAAATTCCTTAAAATCAACTTGGTCTGTTGTGTAAATAGATGTTAGACATTGAGAACATGTGCCTTATAACAAAACTGAATGGCTCCAGGCAATATAAAAAATATTATATAAATCCCCTTTAAGAATTAGTACTTCGGCTGGTGTGGTGGCTCACACCTGTAATCCCAGAACTTTGGGAGACTGAGGAGGGCGGATCACCAGAGATCAGGAGTTCGAGACCAGCCTGGCCAACATGACAAAACCTTTTCTTTACTAAAAATACAAAAATTAGCCGGGCCTGGTGGTGTGTGCCTGTAATCACAGCTACTCAGAAGGCTGAGGCAGGAGAATCACTTGAACCAGGGAGGCGGAGGTCATAGTGAGCCAAGATCGTGCCAATGCACTCCAGCCTTTGGAGACAGAGTAAGACTCCATCTCAAAAAACAAACAAACAAAAAGAATTGGTACTTGAGGCCAGGCACAGTGGTTTATATGTGTAATCCCAGCACTTTGGGAGGCTGAGGTGGGCAGATTACTTGAGGTTAGGCGTTCAAGACCAGTCTGACCAACTGACCAACATGGTAAAACCTCATCCCTACTAAAAATACAAAAAAATTAGCCGGGCATGATGGTGCATGCCTGTAATCCCAGCTACTAGGGAGGCTGAGGCACGAGCATTGCGTGAACCCGGGAGGTGGAGGTTGCAGTGAGCCAAGATTGCACCGTTGCACTCCAGCCTGGGCAACAAGAATGAAACTCTGCCTCAAAAAAAAAAAAGAATTAGTACGTAGTATTCAGCACCTTAGCACCTTAACACAAAGTGAACAAAGAAAAAAGAATTGGTAGTGTATTTTCTTAGTAAAGTAATTTTTTGACATAGGGTCTCACTTTGTTGCTCAGGCTGAAGTACAGTGGTGCGATCTCGGCTCACTGCAACCTCCACCTCCTGGGTTCAGGCGGGGTTTCACCATACTGGCTAGGCTGGTCTCGAACTCCTGATTTCAGGTGATTATCTGCCTTGACCTCCCAAAGTGTGGGATTACAGGCACGAGCCACTATGCCTGGCCTTGCTACAATAATCAGTATAGGCATACCTCATTTAATTGTGCTTTACTTTATTGCATACCACAGATATTGGGCTTTCTATAAATTGAAGGTTTTGGTGATCCTGCATTGAGTAAGTCTAACAGCATATGCTCACCTTGTGTCTGTTACATTTTGATAATTCTATCAATATTTCAACCTTTTTCATTATTATTATATATAATATAGTGATCTGTGATCTTTGATGTTACTGTTAAAATTGTTTCGGGGTGCCATGAACCACACCCACTTAAGAGCACACCCACTTAAGAATGCAAACTTCATCAATACCTATTTTGTGTGTTCTGACTGCTCCACTGACCAGCTGTTCTCTCTCTCTTTCCTGGGGCCTCCCTACTTCCTAAGATACAACAATATTGAAATGAGGCCAGTAAAAATCCCTACAATGACCTCTATGTGTTCAGGTGAGAATAGAAAGTCTCTCATTTTAAATCAAAAGCTAGAAATAATTAAGCATAGTGAGAAAGACATACTGAAAGCTGAAACAGGCTGAAAGTTGGGCCTTTTGTGCCCAATTGTTAGCCAACTTGTGAATGCAAAGAAAAGTTCTTAAAGGACAAGAAGTGCTACTCTAGTGAAAACATGAATGATAAGAAAGTGCAACAGCCTTATTGCTGATAGGGAGAAAGTTTTAGTGACCCAGATAGAAGATTAAACCAGTCATGACGTTCTGTTAAGCCAAAACCTAATCCAGAGCTAGGTCTTGATTCTCTGCAATTCTATGAAGGGCAAGAAATTCGAGGAAACTATAGAAGAAAGTTTGAAGCTAGCAGAAGTTGGTTTGTAGAGTTTAAGAAAAGAAGCCATTTCTACAAAATACAAATGCAGATGAAGCAAAAAGTACTGATGGAGAAGCTGCAGCAAGTTACCCAGAAGATCTAGCTAAGATCATTGATGAAGGTGGCTACACTAAACCACAGATTTTATTTTATTTTATTTTATTTTTTTGAGGTGGAGTTTTGCTCTTGGTGCGATGGTGTGATCTCAGGTCACTTCAAACTCCGTCTCCTGGGTTCAAGTGATTCTTCTGCCTCATGTACCATCATGCCTGGCTAATTTTGTATTTTCAGTAGAGACAGGGTTCCACTGTGTTAGTCAGGCTTGTCTTAAACTTCTGACCTCACATGATCCACCCACCTCAGCCTCCCAAAGTGCTGGGATTATAGGCGTGAACCGCTGCACCTGGCAGAGATTTTCAATATACACAAAACAGCCTTCTATTGGAAGTAGATATCATCAAAGACCTTCATAGCTAGAGAGGAGAAGTAATACTTGGCTTCAAAACTTCAAAGCACAGGCCGAATCTCTTGTTAAAGGATAGCGCCGCTGGTGACTTTAAGTTGAATCCAATGCTAATTTACTATTCTGAAATTTCTTAGGTTCTTAGGAATTATGCTAAATATATTTTGCCTGTGCTCTATCAATGATATAGCAAAGCCTGAATGACAGCAAATCTGTTTACAGTATGTTTTACTAAATATTTTAAGCCCATTGCTAAGACCTACTGTTCAGAAAAAAAAAAAAAAGATCCCTTCGAAAATATTCCTGTTTATGGACAATGGACCTAGTCACCCAAGAGCTCTGATGGAGTTGTACAAGGAGATAAATGTTGGTTTAATGCTTTAACATAAAATCTGTTTGGCAGCCCATGAAGTAATTTAGTCTTTCAAGTCTTATTATTTAAGAGATACATTTCATAAGTCTATAGTTGCCATAGATTAGTGATTCTTCTGATGGATCTGGGCAAAGTACATTGAAAACCTTCTGGAAAAGCACCTTCCTGATTCATGGGAGATCAAAATATCAACTTTAATAGGAGTGTGGTAGAAGTTGATTCCAAAACTCATGGGTAACTTTGAAAGGTTCTAGACTTTAGTGGAGGAACTAAGTGCACATGTGGTAGAAAGAGCAAGAGAACTAGAATTAGAAGAGGAGCCTGAAGATGTAACTGAATTGCTACAATCTCATGATTGTACTTGAAACGATGAGGAGTTGCTTCTTATGAGTGAGCAGAGAAAATGGTTTCTTGAGGTGAAATCTAATCCTGATGAAGATGCTGTAGATATTGTTCAAATGGAAACAAAGGATTTAGAATATTACATAAACATAGTTGACAAAGTAGTAGCAGAATTTGAGAGGATTGACTCCAATTTTGAAAGAGGTTCTACTATGTGTAAAATGCTATCAAACAGCATCACATGCTACAGAGAAATCGTTTGTGAAAGGAAGGGTCAATCCATGCAGCAAACCTCATTGTTGTCTTATTTTAAGAAATTGCCAGGCCGGGTGCAGTGGCTCACGCCTATAATCCCAGCACTTTGGGAGGCCCTGGAGGGCGGGTCACCTGGTCAGGAGTTCGAGATCAGCCTGACCAACATGGAGGAACCCCATCTCTACTATAAATACAAAATTAGCAGGGTGTGGTGGTACATGCCTGTAATCCTAGCTACTCGGGAGGCTGAGGCAGGAGAATCGCTTGAACCCAGGAGATAGAGGTTGCAGTGAGCTTAGATCATGCCATTGGACTCCAGCCTGGGCAACAAGTGCAAAACTCCATCTCAAAAAAAGAAAAGAAAAAAAAAAAAAGAAATTGCCACAGCCATCCTAACCTCCAGCAACCACCACCCTGATCAGTTTGCAGTCATCAACAGTGAGGCAAGACCCTCCACCGACAAAAAGATTATGACTTGCTGAAGGTTCAGATGAACATTAGCATTTTTTAGCAATAAAGCCTTTTTTCTTCTTTTTTGAGACAGGATCTTGTATTGTTGCCCAGGCTGAAATGCAGTGGCATGATCATAGCTCACTGCAACCTCTACCTCCCAAATTCAAGTGATCCTCCCACCTCAGCCTCCTGGGTAGCTAGGACCACAGTATGTACCACCATGCCTGGCTAATTTATATAATTTTTGTAGAGATGAGGTCTCAGCATGTTGCCCAGGCTGGTCTCAAACTCCTGGGTTCAGTCTTGGACTGCCAAAGTGCTAGGATTCCAGGCATCACTCTGTTCTTGGACTAATAACATATTTTTTGATTAAGGTATGCACATTGTTTTTTAGATATTATGCTACTGCACACTTAATAGACTACAGTATATTGTAGACATAACTTTTATATACACTGGGAAACCAAAAAATTGTGTGACTTGCTGTAATTGGGATATTTTCTTGCTTTATTGTGGTGGTCTGGAACTGAACACACAACGTCTTCAACTGTGCCTGTACAACATACTTTATACTTTGGTGTTAAATATTTCCCTTGACTAAAATTCTATCCTAATTTATTAACATAGATGTCAAAATGTCTGTTTTTATTCTGAAGCATCACCAAATACAGAGGTTACTTAGTCCTCTTCCTCTCAACTCCCATTACCCTAGCCTGTCCTCTCTCCTTTCCTTACACACATGCGCGCGCACACACACACACACACGACTATGAAATCTAAAATCTTCAAAAATTCTCTGGAGTCAGAATATATATCAAGACAGCAGTTAAGAGCAATTGCAGTATTCATTTTAAAACACCAAGAAATTCCCCATGTTTGAGGCCTTAAGTACAAGGATGAACATAGAAATGACAATGAATTTTGCCCAGTAGTTTTCATAAGTGAATGTCTGGGATAAAAGAACTGAAGTTTCACTCTAGCCGATCCAGCTAAGAAGATCTAAAAGGAATCCTGAAATGATCTATTGGGAATTTATTCAGGTACTGATAGAGAAATGTTACAGGAATGTCCAAGTCAATTGTTTCTTACCTGTGGGGTCTAGTCTGTTAGTATCATAAACTGCCTGGCTGTGAAACATCCAGAAGTGCCCGTTGTTGCAGGAAAGAAGACAGGAACTACATGGAACAATCACGTGATAACCTACAATGTTCCCACTAGGAAAGAAAGTAAATGTTACTAGCGACCATGTAATACCTGGCCAGATAATTATTTTTATGTGCTTATATAAATAGACCATAGTATTTAGATCTCATTTTCTCCTAACAACTTTCATTGCTGAAATCTTCAGGATAGGATGAGGGTGCAGCTCTACCATCAAGTGGGAAAGCAGTCTTTAAGTGAATAATAGTAACATATTCTCACATTTCTTTGCCAGTATTATTATTACTATTTTTGAGACAGTTTCGCTCTCAGGCTGGAGTGCAATGGTGCCATCTTGGTTCACTGCAACCTCCGCCTCCTGGGTTCAAGCAATTCTCCTGCCTCAGTCTCCAGAATAGCTGGGATTACAGGCGTGCACCACCATGCCCAGCTAATTTTTGTATTATTAGTAGAGTATGGAGTTTTACCATGTTGGCCAGGCTGATCTCAAACTCCTGACCTCAGGTGATCCACCCACCTTGGCCTCCCAAAGTGCTGGGATTATAGGCGTGAGCCACCACGCCCGGCCTGGTAGTATCATTTTATGTATTTCCCTTCAGAAGTGAGCTTCTAGATGCCATAAGGTTGTGATTTGTTCTATAAACCACCCAAATTGATGTGCTGTACAGACAAAATAAATTAAAGAAACTCAGTTTTGTGGGTAAAGGTTTTTGCTATCCCAGGACTGTGGTAAGTTGGGTTCTGACATGTTCTGGTTTCATGCCAGCACCTAAAAACTGTTTCAACAGATGGAGAGGTAGGAAGACAGCATGAGTCCCTGTAAACCAAATACAAGCTGGCTGCTCTAATTTTAGTTTCAGTGTTTTTGAAGGAATTCAGAAATAAAGCAAATCTACAGCCTCTAGAGAAAGTTGCAAAAGTTTTTACAGTTTTCAGAATTATCCAGCTGATTATAAGTACCTCACTCTTTCACATTTTTTTTAAACTAGCTAGTCACCTATTAAATATGTGACTATTTAATGTGAACCTACAGGGAATGTTTTAGCTAGTACTTTAAAAAAAATGGCAACACGGACTGTTTATACCTTGATTGTAAAAATTCTTATTGTAGCTTAGTCTTACTCTGCAAGATTTGAAAGTTAGTCATTTTTATGAGAACCTATAAAGATTACTATAAAAGGTACCAGCCTACCTAAAACATGTCTTCTAATTATAACTTGCTTGAAAGACAAACAAATGAAAACAAAAGTAATTTTTGGACTAGGACTGACAGTTATTTGTAAGACTATATTGCAAGGTAAATTCCATGGTTTAATTACCACTTATACTCATTCATTCATCCATTGATTCATCATTTAACTACCATTTATTGAGTACCTACTACCTGCCAGGCACTGCTCTAGGTGCTAGGAATACAGTGGCAAACAAAGCCCTTGTTCTCATGGAGCTAACTAACATTCAATTTTTGTATGCTTTTGTAGAGATGAGGTCTCAGCATGTTGCCCAGGCTGGTCTCAAACTCTTGGGCTCAAGTGATCCTCCTGCTTTGGACTGCCAAAGTGCTGGGATTATAGGCATGAGCCACCACTCTCGGCCCAATAATGTAGATTAGATCATTCTGCTCCATTGTTAAAACCCCTTCGATGGCCAAAAATGAAAATAAAACCCCCTTCATACCAAGGTCTAGATCTATGCTATCAAAAATAATAGCCACTAGACACATGTGCTGTTATACACTTGAAATGGGGCTGGCCTGAATTGAGATGTGCTGTAAGTGTGAAATGTACACCAGATATCAAAGAGTAAGAACAAAAAATGGAACATAAAGTATTACATTAGTAATTTATGTGGGCTACATGTTAAAATAACATTTTGGATACACTGGGTTAAACAAAATATGTGATTAAGAGTAACTTTCCTGTTTTGGTTTTCTTTCTAAAATGTTGTTGCCTGGGCGTGGTGGCTCATACCTGTAATCCCACACTTTGGGAGGCTGAGGCAGATGGATCATCTGAGGTCAGGAGTTTGAGACCAGCCTGGTTAAAACGGTGAAACCCTGTTTCTACTAAAAATACAAAAATTAGCCAGGTGGGCTGGGTGCGGTGGCTTATGCCTGCAATCCTAACACTTTGGGAGGTCGAGGCGAGTGGATTGCCAGAGCTCAGGAGTTCGAGACCAGCCTGGGCCACATGGTGAAACAGGCTCTACTAAAATACAAAAAATCAGCCAGGCGTGGCAGTGCATGCCTGTACTCCTAGCTACTTGAGAGGTTGAGGCAGGAGAATCATTTGAAACCAGGAGGTGGAGGTGGCAGTGAGCTGAGATCTTGTCGTTGCACTCCAGCCTGGATGACAGAGCAAGACTTTGTCTCAAAAATAAATAAAACAAAACGTTGTTACTAGAAAAATTTAAATTATATATGTGGCTTGCATATTTCTATTGGACAATACTGCTTTGGATTATCTGGGTTCTCACTACGTCTCTAACCTACTCAAACTACCCTCCCTCCACGTTCACATCTTAGCCACACCAACCATCATCTTTCATTACTTGAACATGTCTAACTTCTCTTTGCCATGAGTTCTTTGCATCTGCTATTCTCTCTGACTTTTTATAACAAGACTTCCATGACCATGATATCTAAAATAGCTCTCAATTTCTCAACTTCCATAATTCTCTGTCTTTTATTATTATTATTTCTTTAGGAGTACTTTCCACCATATTAAATATTTATTTAAGTACCTTATTGATTGATCATCTTCCCACTAGAAAATAACATCCAAAGGCCAGTAACTTCATCTAGCTTTTTTGTTGTACTTCCAGTCCTTGTAACAATGACTAGCACATACTAGTTCCTCAATATAAGTATAGCTTGAATAAATGAAGGAATGAAATCAAACAGCACATAAGAAGAGTTTGCCAATTTAAATTATTAGGATTGTCAGTTATAATACAAACCCCATCTAAATGAGAACATCTCAACTTTTTACCTCCTAAAATGAAAATAATAACACATCTGTCTACTTCTCAAAATATTATAGTAATAGATCTCAGCTGTGTTGTAATTGATAGTTTATTGAACCTTGTAACATTCATGTTTGATCTTTATAATAACTTGATAAAACAAATACAGAAAATTATTAAATTTCTATCTTAATAAGAGAGAAATTAAGGTAAGATGCAGTGGCTCACACCTGTAATTCTAGCCCTTTGGGAAGCTGAGGAGGGAGGATCATTTGAGGCCAGGAGTTTGAGATCAGCCTGGACAACAGCAAGACCCTGTCACTCCAAAAAATAAAAAACTTAGCCAAGCATGGTGGAACTTGCCTGTAGTCCCAGCTCTGCAGGAGGCTGAGGGAGGAGAATCACTTGAGCCCAGGAGTTCAAGGTTACAGTGGGCTATGATCATGCCACTGCACTCCAGCCTGAGCAACAGTACAAGACCCCTCTAAAAATAAAAAAAGAATAAAAACATAATAATTAAAATAAGAAAACAGAGGTTCATCAGTTTAGAGGCTTAAGGAGTTCACCCAAGTAGGGTCAGACCTCAAACATGATTTTTATTATTGTAAATCCAAGTGTTTTTTTTCCCTAACCTACATTGCCTTGTTCTGAATATTGAAGCAGATACTGTGAATGTACTTTGAAAACTGTAAAATTATACACTAACATGAAGCATCACAAAATGCTTTTAAAAAATAGTTCTAAGTAATAAATGCCTTTTCAGTGGCTCATTGCATGCTTTATACCACTGCTTGTTTCAGCCCACTGAACCTTTCTCTATGTGTTGGTGTCAATATCCATCTTCCAAACCCAGGGCTATCCAGAATAGTCCCACAAATTACCATTTTAAACATGCGATGTCCTTCAGTTTACATTTGCAGATTTTGGTAAAATAGCATCGTCCAGTGAAGTCCACTGCGCTGGAGAGAGAAAGGTATAATGATAGTCAAATGTACTTCACCAAAAATTTATCTGTGGCAAAAAATTAACAAAATTTACCAACCATTATTATGTGCACAGGGCAGATGTATTAAATATAATCATACTGTTGCATAATGAATCTCCAGACCTTTTTCATTTTGCAAAACTGGAGCTCTATACTTATCAAATAACAACCCCCAACTTCCCCTTCTCCCAGCCCCTGGCCACCACCATTATACTTTCTGTTCCTATGACTTTGACTACTTTAGATATCTAAGAGAAATCATATAGTATTTGTCTTTTTGTAATCGGCTTATTTCACTTAACATAAATTCTTCAAGTTTCATTCATATTGTAGCATGTGACAGGATTTTCTTTCTTTTAAAGAGTAAATAATATTCTATTTTATCTATATACCTCTTTTTTTGGGGGGGAAGGGGGACAGTCTTGCTCTGTTGCCAGGCTGGAGTGCCGTGGCGCGATCTTGGCTCACTGCAATCTCCGCCTCTTGGGGTCAAGCAATTCCATTGCCTCAGCCTCCCAAGTAGCTAGGACTACAGGTGCACACCACCACACCCAGCTAATTTTTTTGTATTTTAGTAGAGTCGGGGTTTTACCATGTTGGCCAGGGTGGTCACCAGGAGTGACCTTGTGATCTGCCCACCTTGGCCTCCCAAGGTGCTGGGATTATAGGTGTGAGCCTGACCTTTTTTTTTTTTTTTTAAGAGAGTGTCTTGCTATGTTGCCCAGGCTGAACTTGAACTCCTGGGCTCAAGTGACCTTCCTACCTCAGTTTCCCAAGTGGGTGGAACTATAGTCACCCTATACCACATTTTGTTTATCCATTCACCTGTAGAGTCAATGGACATTGGGACTGTTTCCACCTCTTGGCTACTGTAAATAATGCTGTTAATGAACATGGGTATGCAAATATCTCTTCCAAGATCCAGCTTTGAAGTCTTTTGGCTATATACCCAGAACTGCTAGATCAGATAGAAATTCTATGCTTGATTTAGCACAAATATTTCCAATCCAAAGAGCTGAAAAAGATTCTAACATAGAAGTATATTTTTAGAAAGTCAGTTTCTATTTGTGAGGTCACCATAAACATCTGACAAATTTTCCATTTAAAAAATTTTTATGTGTTCATTGATACGTATACATCTTAGCACATTAATTCATCATTATTATTTTAACCCCTAAAAAGAAGAGCATAAAATAAGAAAAATCTGATCCTATTCTAGACTTGGGTCTGACCCCTAACAATTCACCTAGCCTTCCTTATGACTGCCTTATTACTTACCACAGCTATTGCAAAGATGAATGGGTTAAATTTGTATATGAGCTACTAAAAAGAAAAAGCAGTGGATAATGAATCATAGAACTCTGTAGCAATAGGTTCTATGATTTATTGTCTAGTGTTTTTCCTTTTTTTGCAATACATATACAATGTACACACACAAAAAACAAAATATTAATTTAAAAACATTAAAAAGATTTAAAAATAACCCATTTATCTCTGCAATAAATGAGAGCCTTTGGCTTTGCTGATAGGCATGATTACACTTAGACAAATTCGGAAAAGAATTCAAGTAAGGAAGAGTACAGAGTACAAAGCTTTACCTGGGTAAATTAAAAAACTTGTAAAGTTTCTATCATTATCATAAAATTCATTTAAAATGAATTATGGTTATTAGCCTGCTTCCTCTGGCTCTATATCCAAAGACTTAGAGAATACCTATCCACTCATAGATTCGATAATTACTTTCGTTTTAATAATAAAATTTCAATAAAGAACTAAATCTTGAAGATTCATGTAGGGCATATACATCTTGACTATGGAAAGAGAAAGTACCATTTAGAGCTAGAAAAAGGTTACTTGAATCAAATAAAATGGCTATTTTACCAAATAGGAAGCAAATTCTTAAGGACTCTATACCCAAAAGCAATTAGTGGCTGAAAACAAACAGATTTTAAAAGGGTTCAATTATGGGAACAAATGTGTAATATCCAAAATAGGCTTTATGGGAAATAAGGATTAAGGCTAAGTCTCTATTTTTCATCCCATAAAACTCTATTTACATCTCTTTCAGAGAGAAAGAGTTTTGAGGAAAGAAAACTGAATTTGATGAACAACGGATCTGATTCAGGATGCCAATTGCAAATAATAATAGAAAACTAATTGTTTTTTTTTCTGGTGCGAAATTTCATGGATAAAAATGAAAAACTTAAATACCTCTCCTGTCCAACAGTACAGAAAATTTGCCTGAATTTACCTAGAGTCTAGGTCATGAACTTGACTCAGTGAAATAGGATGGTTGGGCAGGACACTGAACAGGGATCAAACTTAAGAGATATGTGGTCGCATGACTGTAATTGAGTTAGAAGCATTACATCAGGACTGACCATCTTGGGTAAACCACAGACTTTGTCCAGACAGTCTGCCCACTTAGATATATTCCAAAGGGATCATCAAACTGTTGGGAGTGGCTGGAAACGATAACCTCCTTGTTGACTCCCAGGGATCCAAGCCATAAGTTTTCCCATTTAGTTAAAAGCTACCGTTGCCCACCTCTAGCATGACTTACTTGGTAGGAGGGATGTCTGTAGAGAAAAGGTCTATTTCAGTATCAGCCAGCAAAACAGCCTTCATTCCCCTAGAGCTGAGCACTTGTTTACAGAATTTGCAACACAGGATGGACACGCACCGGTCCTTGAAATTACAAATGTTGGTAGTCATGGCGTCGCAGGAAGGATGAGGTGTAGGATTTTGAAAAAAGAAACAAGAGCAATGCTCCTACTACTTTGATTCCCCTAGGCTAAAAACCAAGTTGCGAGACCTCGAGCTTCTCTAAGCCCTAAAACTGGGAAGGAAATGAGTTCTTTTCTGTTCTCCTAGTGGAGGAGTAGAAGCAAAATTTATTGAGTAGAAACGGGGGAGCGCGGCAAACTGGCTTTCCTTTTAAACTTTCGAAGGGAGTGGAGTTTGAATTGGAGAGGAGGCGGTGGGGTCTGAAGGGAACTTCTCAACAGCTTTCCCTTTCTCTTGTCTGAAGGAGTCCTCTACCCCTCAGCTCCCACCCCTTCACAGCAATTCCCTCAGCCTCCTCCGATCGTCTTTTATTTAAAGCTTCTCCTCTTTTGAGACGTCCTTTTCCCAACGTTAAGCCCCTCCCCCAGAACGCTCCCGTTCCCAGCTCAGGGATCTCAGGCTTAGCGTCCCTACCAGCCTCCTCTTCCCAGGATTCAGGAACTCCCTTCGCTCTTTCAGCCGGGAGATCCCGCGTTCTCCTCCTTCCCGCCCCCTTCTCTCCCGGACCTTCCTACGCTCTGTAGGTCCGCGGGCCCCTCTCCTGGCAGTCCCCAGCCCTCAGCGTGCTCGCGCTTGCGCCGTTTTTCTCGCGTCCTCCCTCCCCTCAGCTGTCCCCCGTGCCACCCGCAGTCCCTTCAGGTCTCTTCCCGGAGCGGCCCTTCCCAGGCGCGCGGTGGTGTTGGTGGGGCAGGGCTGAAGTCGCTTTTGGGGCTCAGTCGGCGCCGGGGTCTGTCACCAAACACGTTGGTTTTTGCTCCCTCTTCCGCTTTTCCTGCCTCTCCAACCTGGTGTCAGTTTGAATTGCCAGCGCCACGCACCGATTGGGAGAACTAGAGCTCGCCTCCGTCCCGCATTGGAAGGCTCCGGGCCTCCCCTGACAAGAGCTAGTGGCTTGAAGACCATCGGCGCCGCCCCAGTAACGGTGCTGAGATCAGCTCGGCTTTTTGGTTGGCCGAGCTTGGCTCCGCCTCCGATCTTATTGGCTGGTTTCGGGAAGTTTCGGCAAATCCTCCCTTAGCCCTGGAGAAAGTGGCAAGGTGCGCCCTTCCCGCTTCTTATTGGAAGAGAATCTACAGTCCCCGCCGGTCTCTACTGTCTATTGGCTATAATTCTCCGCAACACCCCACCTCTCTACCCCGGCCCAATTGGCCTTGCCTTCGCTCAAGAGTTTGTGTTTGGTCGTCCGCTCCATCTTAATCCCGCCCATCAGTTCTACTGAAGGTTTCGACAACCTGGGGTGGAGCTTAATCTATGACCACGCCTCAACAGCGCCAGTCGCACCTCCAAGTTTTGCCAGCTCCTCCCCCTCATTCCGGGCCTCTCGGGATCCGCTCTTCCTATTGGCTATAGGCCCCATCGGTCGATAGAAAGCGGGCGGTGATTGGTAAAGGGGTGGGCTCTGGTTCCCGGCGGGGTCCTGCGGAGTTGGCGGAGGCTCCTCAAGGGACTGGGGCACCGATCTGCGTAGAAGCGGGTGGCGGGGAAGAGAGGGGAGGAGAGCTCTGAGTGGGAAGCGGAGCCGGGGGCCTGGGACCCGTCGCGTCAGAGCCAGGTAAAGGCTCCTTCCCTCTTGCTTTTCTTCCTCCCGGCCGCCGGGCTGGAGCCCTGACTGAACAGACCTGGGCTGGGGCGGGAAGGAGAGGGCGCGGATGCTGCTCCCGGCATCGCCTTAGCGGTGCCGCCCGGAATCCCTCAGACCGCCCCTCCACCCTCTCCAAATCTCCCAGTACAGCCCATAATACTTCTCGGGACTGCGAGTCTCTCCGCCCATCACTGTACAGCCTGGGACTCTGTCCTGGCTCACCCACCGAAGCGCAGCCCGCACCCAGCCGCCTCCCCCGTTTCTCCGCACACGGGCAGCCGCGGTCCACCGTGGGGCAGTAGTCGTTGGCATCGCGTGTAACCATCGGCTGGCCTCTTTCCCTGCCTCCCAGCCTTGGCGTACAGCCTCGATCCCAGCCCAGGACCCAGGAGGATGGGTGTTCCGCGCAGCTTCCGGGGCTTTCTCCCAGTTCCACCCCTCCGCCTGCCGCGATGGACTTCTCTTCACCCACTCCCATTCCTAGACCACATCTCGGTCCCCACAGTTCCTAACATCCTCGATCTTCACGCAACATCGTGGCCCATGATCGTCCCCAATGCCCCTCAGTCCCAAGGCAGCCTTTCCTTGCCCTCTCCCGCCTTCCGAGCGTGTGCCGCTCCAGTTGTCCCCGGGCTCCCTTCCAGCCTCTGGACCCTATCTCACACCCGCCTCCCGCTTCCTGCCCGCCTGAACCCTGCCGCCTTTGCTCCCTGTCTTACTTCCTCAGTGTGGCCCCTTCCTCCAGCCACGAGAAGTGGGAGACGCTAGCAGGAGCTTCCTCCTCCCGGCGCTTGGAGGAAAAGGAACAACCTAGGAGGAAGGGTCGCCGCTACGGCACGCGGGGGAGCTAGACGCCGGGCCCCGCGCTCCCGTCGCGTCCCTCCTGCTTCCTGGGCCTAGACCGAGTTAGGATCTTCTCGGGCACCTCCTGGTGCGAGGAGTCGGGACTGCGACCTCACCAACCTCCCCCCATCCCAAGCCTGGGATTGGGTGCGAAATCTGGGATCTCTCGGCTTGGGTGGCAAAAAAATATTGAAGGTGGCATTTATAGTCACTATCGTCCCTAACTTGGGGGAGGTGACGGCTGCCTTCCGCTCGCTGCCCCTCGGTTTTCCCAGCCCCGACCCTATCCTCTAACCCGTTTCCTGCTTCAGCTGACCACATTGTTTTCCTGGATGTGTCCCGTGCCGAGCAGGCTTTTTCCTGCAGATTTGCCACCCCTCCGCACCTCCCCCTCCCGCCCTCCCCCCCCCCCCCCCCCCCGCCCCGCCAACATTTTGCTGCCAAGAGAAGCTAGTAATCAAACACAAAACAACTGGGAGGAGGGGCGGGAGGGGAAGAAAAGTTGTGCGTGGTGGCTTGCCCCTCCCCGGCTTTGATCCCTTTTGATGTCCAGGGAGGTGACTCAGCCGGGGGTCTGGGGCTGAGTCTGGGGGTTAGGTCGGGAGGGCTCCCACGGGCTGGCTGCTGACCAGCGCCTGCAGAGCTTGGGAGGCCACCGAAGTGCCGCAGTCCCCGCCCGGTGCCCCGCGTTCCTGTAGTCCCCGCCCGGAGCCCGCGCAGGCGGCTGCTCCAAAGTATTTTCTTTCAGCCTTAAAACAAAATCCGGAGGGAGCTTCCTTCCTCCCCACCTCGCAGCGCCGGGCTCCGCCGACCCGGCGGCGTTTGGAGGACTGGAATGGGCCCAGGGCGGGCTCCGAACGACGTCCCCTACCCCACCCCCGCTGTGATTAGGATCTGCTCTCTGGCTGATCGCCCCCTCCCCCTTTTCCTGCATTTACAGGCAAGTGAACCGAAGCAAACGACTTCCGATCCAGTCTGCGCTGCTGCGGCTCCCGTTTGGGATTTGATTTGCAGCATCTTCGAGCCTCTACGACAAAAAACCGCGAAGCACGCCCAGCCCTCCCCCGGCACCCCGAAAAGCACCCACTCCCTCCCGGGGACACAGCTGGGCGCGTCCACACCCCCGCAGCCCCACACCATGTTGTGCGGAAGGACTTCCACTCTCCGCTTGTGTCGTTGATGTCAGACCCCAGGCCAGCCTCCGGGTGCTGCAGTTCTCCCGGCTAATGCTGAGGCTGCGGCTCCAGCTCTAGCACAGGCACCAGCCGCCGCGGCACCCGGCCCCAGCACCCACCGTCTGCATGTGCCCGCCGTAGCCGCCTGCCCAGCCCGCAGCCCGCGCTCCACGGAGCGCTGGAGACCACCGCGGGGTGGGTAGGAGGGCTCCTCTGCCCTCTAGAGAAGCTGTCTTGGAGGTGTTGATTTAGGTGGTTGGATTTTTTTCCGTGGATCTATCAATTCACAATTCAAATTTGGAAGAAAAAAGGAAAACATGACGTCTCCAGCCAAATTCAAAAAGGATAAGGAGATCATAGCAGAGTACGATACTCAGGTCAAAGGTAAGGGCTTTGAAAAATAGCACACTGCAAATGCTGTGTGGACTGGTGAGGCATGTATTTCCACCCTGATTTGCAGGCTGTTTATTTCCTTGGGTGGAGCAGATGGGGGCAGGCTGACCCCAGAGGTGGTTTCATAGGTGGGTCTGAACCTCCAAAGGATGGGCAGTGCCAGGGGCTGCTGGCACTGGAAAGGAATTTTTGGAGTGGGCTGTAGGAGTATCTGAGGGGCTGACCGTGATTTTGGCAGCCCTTTCCCCCAAGCTGACAGGGTCGGGGGAGGGGCAGGAGGCTCTTGGAGAGAGAAAGGCACAATTTGCCTCCGGTTCTCTGGGTCAGATTTCCTTCAAATACAACTGATATCTGACAGGTGTTTGGACATTTATTTCAGAGATTCAAGAGGAGTCCAGACAGAAAGGCAACCTTGAGAAGGTGTACCATTTGGAGACCCTTGGGAGAGACAGGGTTTTTCTGATGCACTATATTAAGACATGAGATTTGCTATGGCATTGGACTCCAAAAGTCCATTGCTACCTTGGATGTACCTTGTACCTGTCTGGTCTCTGGTCGCCCTGAATACAATCAGAGATCAGAGAACAGAAAGAATAAGGCCACACACGCTGGGTCTCCGCCCTCACCTAAATCTGAATAGAGTTGGGAGGATGTTAGGGTTGCTGGTTGGTGCTGATTCTGGAAAATAGGAAGACATAATTGTTTAACCCTTCTGTGCTGTGGCCCTCTGCTCCAGAAGACATGCTTTTAAAGCCCAATTTTCCTCTCCGGAAAAATGTGAAGGGTAAAGCAAAATGTAGGCTTGGAGAAACCAAGTGACCCATCTCCTTATCTAGTCGACTGTCTGACTTGACTCATGAATAAGAGCCCTTACTCAGATAGCGTTTTTTAAACAAGCAATTCCCATAGGAAGGGTTCCTGCCTGTTAAAGAGCTGCAGCATGTGTTTGTGCAAGGCACTGTCCTTTCCTGGTCAGTCACTGGAAAGAGCCATGTGGCTGCAGCCCATTGAGACCTTAGCTAGGGAGTGGAAGAGGTGGGTGGCCTTGAATGTTACACCACATGGTTGGAGCTCTGGGTTTTCCTTTGTTTCAGAGTACAAGGGAGGGGCCCCTCCTTTCCCTGCACCAGTGCAAGGAGACCTTTTCCTATCAGAGAGGACTTGAGAAGGGCCATGTCTCCCCTTAAATTATTGCTGGGGTTTGGGGGTAGGGCTAGAGTTTGAAATGGGCAGCTCCCTTATCTCTTGGGAGGTTGGAAGGTTGTCTAAAGTCCTCATTGTACCTACAGGATCTTTTTTATGTCATTAGTTTGGTCAATGCTGGAGGTGCCCTAAGGGGCCTTCTATCCACTTGGCTGCAGACATTGGTAGGTTTATTACAGAGATGGGGGAGATTGATAGCTTCAGTTGAACTGGGATTGAGAGAGATATGGTTGTGAGTTATAATTGAGGTCTTGGCCTCTTGTTACTGTTCATAATCCAGGCCTGTTTTTGTAAACAATAGGCCACTGGCCTTTGTGTCCTGTCCAGGTGCACTGCAATTTGCTCTTGGAATCCCCCCTGCAGTCTTAACCAAATATGTCTTTTTTTTTTTTTTAACACATCCTCTACTTAAAACTGTTGCCATCAGGAGTGTTAATAACTTTGATCTTCCCAGATTTCTCTCCAGAAGCATGCCATTTGACTAAGGTGCAAAGTGATTTTAAATGTTTATTTTTTGGAAGGTTCAAGGCTGATAGGTGTTAATAGAACTGTATCTGCCAATTTCTTACTGGCAAAGGATTTCTCAAGAGTGTCTCAAAATTAAACACTTTGGATATTTACAAACATTGCTCATTGAGATGATGTAATGCAGTTGGCTATTGGGGTTTTCTCTTCAACCGTGCGACAGCATTAGACTGTTTTGCTTTGCTCTGATATTTTTCCATTGATACTATTCGGGATCATAGAAATTGATCCTGAATGCTCAACGTGGCTAAGCATGATGTCTTACCCTGAGAAGGTGCCTGATGAATGCTTATGGAACTGATTTGAATAGTTCAGTCCTTCATTTTACAGCTGAGGAGAATACAGAGAACTGAAGAGGCTTGTCCAAGGTCACACAGCTAGATGGTGGCATATCTGAAACTAGAAGCAGATTTACCAACTCTCAATTCCCTATTCTGTATCTTTACTATGAAACATCATCTGACCAGGGTGAGAAAACATGAAAAATTCTTAAGGAGCCCAAATCTGTCAATGAATAATAGTAGTAATAATGATAATGATAATCACAGTAGATTACATTTTGGTTGCTCATTACGTTCTGGTCTGTCCCAGGTGCTTTAAATGAATGGTCTGGTTTAATCCTCACATCAACCCAGGAAGTGGGTATTATTGTCACCTTCCATTCACCATATAAGGAAACTGAGGCTTAGAGAGGACAAGAAGTCCTTCCAAGGTCACACAGCCAAATGATGGCAGCTTGACTTCATTCCTTTTTTCATTAACTATTTATTGAGTGCTTACTATGTGTTCTGGGGACTGGCACTACAGCCATGAAGAAGAAAAAGTCTCTACCTTTGTGGAGCTTATATTCTGGAAGCTAGGCTCTTATGGAACAGCACAGAATTTGGAGACAAAGGGCCTGGGATCTGGGTTGGCTCTGCCCCCCACTAGCTAGAAGCCCTGGGTCAGAAATATTATGAGTGTCAGCTTCTTATGTATTATATGGGACTCATGGTGCTGCCAGACTTACTTCTCTTACAGATGCCAAGATAAAAAGAAAATTGCTTTAACAGCTATGCAGTTTGGTTTGGTGGTTAAGTGCAATTTTTAGAGTCAAAGGGATTCAGGTTTAAATCTTGGTTCTGCCAGTTGCTTGCCTTTCACTTCAAGCAAGTTACATGACTTGCCTGAGCCTCAGTTTCCTTATTTGGAAAACAGGTAAAATAAAATAGATTTCCTAAGGTAGTAGTGAGTTGGTGATGAGATATATAAATTATTTAGAACAGTATCTGGCACTTTTAAGTGCTCAATAATGGTATAGTCTACTCCTCTGTGAGCAGGCTTTCTTTTGCTGAATTGGGCTGACTATTGAGGTTGCATTGCATATTCACTCCCAAAGAGTTCTAGTTTAAGTTCATCTAGCAGTAACAAAAGATCTTGGGTCAGTCATTTAAACCCTGTGGACCTCAGTTTCTTTTTCTGTCAGTGAACAAGTCAACTAATTATTGGCCACTCTAGTTCTACGTGTCTTTGACCAGAGTCCCAGGTCCTGTTTTTTCAATCAGAATTGTTTGAGTCAAATGGACTCTAAATGGGACCCTCATCTCATGGGACCCTTTCGAGGACCCTCTCTATCCCTTGCTTTTTGTTTCTGCTTGCATGTGCCCTGAGGAACTGCTGAGGCTTTAGCCTCAACCCTCCCCCAGAAGGGTTTTGTGAGGGGTGGGCCTCCTTAGTCAGCCTGCCTCGTAGTGTGTTTCTGGTTTGTGGGTGTCCAGATTCCTTGGAAAGTTAATGCTTCTCAGTGTCTGACTTGAAAGCAATAATATTCTTAGTCTTTTTACATAGCTCTTTTCAATTTACAATGCACTTTCATATGGAGTTGTCCCTCAGAATCCTCCGGGGATTGGTTCTAGGACTGGCCCCACTTCCTCCAGGAGAGCAAAATCTGCAGATGCTCAAGTCCCTGATATATAATGGTGTAGTATTTGCATATAACCTATGTATACATATTCTCCCGTATACTTTAAATCATCTCTAGGTTACTTATTATACCTAATACAATGTAAATGCTATGTAAATAGTTGTTATACTGCTTTTAAAATTTGTATTATTTTAAATTGTTGTATTATTATTATTTTTATTTTTTTCCTGAATATTTTCCATTCCCATTAGGTTGAATCTGCAGATATGGAACCTGCAGGTGTGGAGGGCTGATGTGCCTTAATCTCTGGAAATTCTTTACAACCCTGGTCAGATTCATGGTCATAACCTGAAGCCTTCAGGCTTTAGACTGTTAGCTTGTTGCTGGGATTGGAGCAGCAAAGGTGGTAAGGTGCAGGGCATGGTTACCAGAGCTGTGAATCCGGGTGGTATTTGGGCGAATGCGTATGACTGCATACAGTCCCAGCTATTGTTCTTTCCTTATTTAAGGCTCCTTTCCTTTACCTTGAGTTTTTGCAGCTTCCCAGAAAGCTTGAGATTGACAGTTCATGCAAATATTCCAGGAGAAATAGTCTGAAACAGAGTGGCACTGTATGTTGAGCAGTCAAATTTTCTTTCTTGAGAACATTAGGGGTCTTGTTTTTTTTTTTTTTTTTAAGTCTTAGGAGAGCAGTGTGTGTGTGTACTGCAGAGCTGGAAGTGAAATTTTGTAATTTCCATCTGGAGTATTTTGATAGAAAAAGCGCAGGCCTTTGCCTGGAATAGTTTAACGCTTTCAGGACCATTCAAGAGCAGGAGATGAAATTTAAAACTGGAGTCATATTGTGTGTGTATATGTACTTGGGAATGCTGATGGCAGGTATTTAAACAAGCTCTCTCCCCTGGGAGGTCTGAGTGATTCTTCATTCATGCCAACAAAGGTGTTCTCCACAGCTTCTTTCCTCCCAGCCCCCATTCCCCAAGGGAGCTTTATATATAATCAGTTAATCAGTTTTAAATATATCAGTGAAATATAATCAGTTTGAAGAGCTGCAGTAAAATATTTAGTTGGGATCCTCCAGCAGATGCTATCATCTTCCTGCAAGATGATTGAGGGCCCCTTGTGCCTTGCTCAGGGAGTGGGGCGGGGGGGACAGGGGGACAAAAAGCTACTTTGCAGTAGTAAGGTGAACTCCTGGAAGAAAATGAAGCTCTTGGAAACATTCAAGTACCATACTCTATATCTTGGAATTGAAAGACCTTGGAGGAAGGTGGTGGGTAAGGAGTCAGGGGGATGCAGTGTACCGTGCAAAGAAGCAGTGGTTGGAAACTGTTCATGAGGGTCCTTAGCTTTTCCAATT